AAATTCACTGAGGTGGTAAAGTGTAAATATGTCATCTTGGCAGGCACAAAGTGCTGCTTTTTATGAAGGAAGTGTGGCAGTTTTTGCTGATATGCAAATTTCGCTGAGGCCATGTAAACCAAATGGCATGGGTTTGCAGATACATTGAGGGGTCTTCTTTGCTTTGTAAAAAAGGAAACACATCCACCACCACCTAGTGGTGCTCAGAGAGAGATAGCCCTGCTTGTTTCCACACAGGGGAAGGTGTCATGTTTCTGGGTTGCTTTTTTTGTTTGTTTGTTTGTTTTTTAAGTCCAACCTATCCCCTTTTGTAGGGGAGTGGCTCTGTATGGTGTATTGGCAACAGTGCACATATGCAGTTGGCCAGGTAGATGAGCTTACCCGCAGATGATCTCAATCTGACAGAGTGCCCTGTGATCTTCCTGGCACATGAGAACATGGGAGGCTCTCGAGGAGCTGCTCCGGGAAGGCCACCCCCAGGAGGCTGTCATGACAGTTTCTTATGCCTCCCAGGTTCTGATGAGGCTTGAGTCTTTTTGTGTCACCTCCCCTCAGGGTACACCTGCAGGCTGTACAGTACATAATGGCAGCATGAAATGGGCTCCTCAGGAACAGGTGTCTGAGCCCCCATGTTGCAGTATCTGGACCCCTTGTCTCAGTGACACCCTATGCAAGGGACGTGGGAGCTGCTTCTTTAGCTCCTTTTCCATGTAAGTCTTAAAGTATCTGAATATTGAAGAGTACCTGTTTCTTTACTGGCCACATTTGTCAGCCTTTATCTTGCTTTGCTGGACACATCTCACCATTGTAACCCAGGCATTTTCATTTGTTTTCTTATGGTTTTTATTCATATATAAAAAATATATAAAAATATATAAAAAATCGTTCTAGTGCTGAAGTGCATATAAACTGTGCTCTATCTGTGCTTAATCTAATATTTGCAAAAGCTATATGATGTGGCCTCATAACCATAATTAACTTGACTTCTGTCATTGGATATTTAGCTTTTTAAAAAAAACTTTGTACTGTTGTAGAGGCTGTATTTATTCATTTTCTCTTTTTGTTTCTATTTTTGTTTCTATTTGTTATGGTGATCTCTGATCAGTGATCTTGAAAGTACTATTGTAGTTGTTTTGGGGTGCCATGAGCCTTACCCATATAAGATGGTGAATAATTAATAGGCATTTCTGCTACATCTTCACTGCGTATGCTAAAGTGAGGCAGTATCAAACAGTAGGAATGCATGTGCTAGAAATTTTGTTTAAATACAGATTTTTCCAGATGTGTGACCTCTGTAAGCCTGTTTCCTGTAAATTATGAGGTTACAAATCTGATATTCAGTGTTGTAAAGGATAAATGGAAACATACACATTCACACATATATGCTTACATCATGTACATGCATGCATGCCCCCCCCCCACACTCATAATTTGGTACCTGGGATATAATAGATGTATATTAAGTGACAGGTAATGTACAATCAAACACATGTTTTATATTAGTAATGTGTGACAGAACAGTAATAATTGGAATGTTTTGCTTAGCCACTCTGTATAGTGAAAAGAAATGGAATTTAGGATTTACAAACCTGTGTGCATATCTAATACTCTATAAAATGACTGTTGTATCTGTAGTATGTTCAAGAAAACTGCATCAAAAATAAAGAAAATTCAATGCCAGAAACAGTACTATTCATAATTGGTTCCTTCTCTCCAGGAAATTGAGAAACCAGTTGGTCAAAATAGATATATTTGGATTCACTTTAAAACCAAAAGTATTATCTCAGCTGCCTTCCTTCCCTTTAATTCATTAAACAAATATTTATGGGCAGGCATGGTTATTGCTCCAGGGATAAGGTGATGGACAATATCAACAAGATCCTTTATTTTTAGAAATTGACATCCTAATTCTAAATAAGCAAACTGATTCCTTTCAGCTGGTATGAGTCCCCTGAGAGTCAGTAATGACACAAGTCTTGTGTGTGGTCCCAGGAGCAGAGGAACGGTATTTCCTCATCTCATTGGCTGGCGACATGTTGCTGCCTAGTCCTCCTGCTCTACATAGATATTGAACCTATGGAAAGTTGTTATTTTTGATATCATGTTTTCTTTTCCTGATAAAACCTTAAAGAACCCAGCTGTTGTAGAAAATGAGGTATCTATATTTGCTTTAGAGACAACGCTGCCATAACGTTTTTTTGTAAAGCATATAATTGTAGTGTAGTAAAATGCTTATGTGAAAATAGGGTTGTTGACTACTCTTACTAGGGAATCTTCAGGGTTTGTCAAATTGCTTTCTCTATTTAGAAAAATAAAATATCTCATATAGTGGTATAAGTGGCAGGAAATCTGAAAGGGCTATAATGGTTGAACAGATTGTAAGCTCCTTGATGGAAATCACACTAAGATGTCTCATTATTTTCAAACAAAGCAAGGAAATCCACTAATGAAAGTTCTGTCAGCCTTATTTGATGATTAAAATACTTTTCAAAATTTTCATACTTTAGTAAGTGTATTTCTTAGCCAGAACATATATGTTGTGATTGATACATAGTAAAGATTAATGTATATACTGCGTCTGTTTTTAAACTCTAAATTGATATGATTTTTTTCATTATACTCTGAGCTTAAATTACTCTCTTTTGGTCAATTGTATATATGTGTATATCAAAGGATAAACAGTATGCAGGGGATCCCTGGGTGGCTCAGCGGTTTAACGCCTGCCTTTGGCCCAGGGAGCAATCCTGGAGTCCTGGGATCAAGTCCTGCGTCGGGCTCCCGGCATGGAGCCTGCTTCTCCCTCCTCCTGTGTCTCTGCCTCTCTCTCTCTCTGTGTCTATCATGAATAAATAAACAAATCTTTTAAAAAACAGTATGCATTATTTGTTTATTTTTCATCTACTGGATCAGGGACTGGGTTATATTTCTATTTCAGTGGACAGCACACTTCTTGTCACATTAAGCTCATCAAATATTTTTTAAATGGTTAAAAGTCTACATGAATTCTTCCTATACAACTTGATGGATTTTTGTGTTTGTTATCCCATCAGGTTGCTTTATTGTCTTGAGAGGTTTCAAATGTTTGACTTAGAGGTGCATCTTATCACCTGTCACTACCAATGCTCATGCAGTTCTGACCTTTTACCATCTGTACATTCTTCAGGAACATTTTATAGCAAGATAACTGTTAAAACTCACATAGCGCTTTTTGGCCAACCTTCTCCAGGATGTGTGTATATGGTTGTGTGTTTGTGAGTGTGTGTGTGTGTATGTGTGTATGATAATCATACGTGTAGAGAATTTTAAAACAGTAGAAAGTAACAAAAAGGAAAGAATACTTACATTAGTCCCATTATCCACATACAGATACTATTAGTATTTTGCTATTCCTTTTCAGTTGCTTTTCTGTGCCTGTGTGTTTGTATGTGTGGACAAATATCTATGCGTAAGGCCTTGCACAAAGAAAGTGCTTTATAAATATGTTGAATAGATGAGTATCTCAATATGTATAATAATTTATATTTTAAAATTTAGGATAAGATGTGTTTTATGTTTTTTTCCTTACTTTGATTTTTACTTAACCTAGAAAATTCTCTAAAAAATATAGTTTTCAGGGCACCTGGATAGCTCAGTCAGTTAAGCATCTGCCTTAAGCTCAGGTCATGATCCAGGATCCTAGGATTGAGCCCCACACCTGGCTCTGCTCTGTTAGGAGTCGGCTTTTCCCTCTCCCTTTGCCTGCTGCTACCTCTGCTTCTGCTCTATCTCTGTGTCAAATACATAAATAAAATCTAAATCTAAAAAAAAATCTATATCTATCTGTAGTTTTTAATAACTTTATAATCATATGTACATATGTGCCTATGTGTAAATGTACATGTATTATAGTCTATTTGACCTTTCTCCCATATTAATACTCTACTGTGTTTTTGCTGTGATAATGTTGTGATGTATATTTTTACTATCAACTTTTATCGTGACTGCTTAGCAGGTTAATCCTAGAGGGGCAATTACTGGGACATAGAAATATAAATTTAAAACAATTATCAATCCTTTCCAGCAGATTTTTATTATTTAAAAATGATATTTTTATTGAATTACGAAGGGGGTTATTGATGTAGAAAATTTGGAAAGCAGAAAAATAAAGTGCAGAGAATATTGAGAAGAACCATAATCCTGGCAACTAAAGATAACTTCATTTAAGATTTTGATTTATGTAATTTTAGTCTTTAGTCATAATTCTAATACATATTTCTATTATGCATTTTACCAAAAAGGATCATTTTGTTCTAAACTGCTGGGTTTTTTCCACTAGTAGTATATCATTAACAAAGTCTTCCTCTGCCATTAATCTTTTATAATGTAATTTTACAGCCTATTATTAAAATGACATGGCTGTACAATGCATATAATTAACCCTTACCTGGTGGACCTGTAGTTTATTTCCAATGTTTCATTATTATGAGGAGTTATAGGATACAAACCTTCATGTTTGCCCCTTGGGTACATTTGCTGTAAGCACATTAAGACAAATTCCTGGAAGCAGAATTGCTGGTTCAAAATATATGAAAACATTTTAAAGCTTTTGACATATATTTCCACATTGCCTTCCAACAGGTTGTACCAATTGACATTCTTTCCCAAAAGAGTATGAAAGCGAAAGGAAATTATACAGATATTTTCAAGTCATTCACCTAGAAACCTCTTTATTGTTCTTTGAGAGGAGTAAGAAACTACCCATGTTTAACGTTTATCAACGGTCTTCTTAGAGAGGGGACTATATTCATAGGCCTATTGTAATACAGGAGAAGCTGACTGTGGACTGGTTAGATGATTTTACTAAATGCTCACAGAAAGTGAGAAATAAAATTTTTATTAGTTACTGGGTTTTCTGAATACCTCTTTGATTAATCAGCCTGCTTGTTGAGTTTATCTTCAATTAAGTATTATTTTTCTGTCACTAATTGTTTCAAGAACAGTCACTGTGTTTTCTTTTCCAGTCCCGTCAGTGGCTGCACAGGAAGCATGGTCTTGGGAGCAGTACTTGACAGAACAGAAGGCTATAGCAGCACCTGTTGAACTGTTTTCCAAGGTGAACTACTAACAGTCTTATATTTTGGCAAGGAATGAACACTTAAGAGAATTAATTAGAAGGAAGTCATTTGCCTACACAGAACACCCAACCTTTTTGATTTGTAGATTTCACTGGAAAATAACATAACAAAGCTAATGGAAGCCTTTGTGATGAGAATATGTGCTCAGGAGCTGGAGCTGGAGCTGGACTTCTGGGTTTGAAACCTAGCGCTCCCACCTTCTAGCTCTGTGACCTTGAACAAGTCATCCAGTCTCTCTGTGCTCCAGTTCCCTCACCTGTAATGTAAGGAAACTACCATGCCTACCTCCTTGGGGTGCTGGAGGATTAAATCAGTTGTACACATAAGGGACACTGGATGCAACATGCACATAGTGAACAATAAGTGCTAGGCTTTCTTTGTATTAGCAGGTATTACCTGCACATGACCACCCAAGGATCAGGTTCGAGGGATCTGTTTCGATGTGTTGCATGAAAGTGGTGGGTCAGGCAACATGTCGGGGAGACAGCGAAACCCCTAAATGATGTTCTGCCTGACTCTAATGATGCCCAGAGCAGCCTGTGTGGGCTTGCTTGACCAAATGACTGTTGGCATGGCGGGGGGGAGGGGGGGCGGGTTGTGCCTTCAGGGGGATCATCTTTACCTGAGGTATTAAATCTTCTGAAATCTTCTGCTACTCTTTCTATTCTTCTTGGTCTGTGTTTTTCAGTGTTTCAGGGGAATTTATATTAAAAAATTGCATAAGATTTACATCATTGTATTGCATTTTAACCAGCACTGAGAAGCTAACACTTTTTATTTGCTTTCCTTTTTACGGTATTTGTTGAGTTACATCTAGTACTTTTTATCATGCAAAAGGGCTAGCGATTTTGTTAAAGATTTTATTTATTCATGAGAGAGAGAGAGAGAGAGAGAGAGAGAGGCAGAGACATAGCAGAGGGAGAGAGAGAGAGCGAGAGAGAGAGAGAGAGAGAGAGAGAGAAGCAGAGACATAGTAGAAGGAGAAGAGGCTCCACGCAGGGAGCCCGATGCGGGACTCGAACCAAATGCAGACACTCAACGCTGAACCACCCAGGTGTCCCTTAAAGATTTATTTATTTATTTTAGAGAGAATGCAGCAGAAAGGTACAGAAGGAGAGGGAGAGAGAATCAGAAACAGACTCCCATCTGAGCGCATAGCCTGACACAGGACTCAGTCTCACAACCTTGAGATCATGACCCCGAGATCAGGAGGGACCTGAACCAAAACCAAGAGTTGAATGCTCAACTGACTGAGCCATCAGGGTGCCCCAAAAGGGCTAACAGTTTTAAGCCTGGCCGTGGCAGTAGAATAGGTGAGAAGTGAAACAAATAAGGAAAGAAAGGGAAACCAGTGCTGGCAGCTCACATTTAAGAAATACTAAATATTTCATACTTAACCCAGTCTTTTTTTTCTTTTTTGAGTGCCAACGGAGATGTATATATTAGGTGGAGATGGTAATGAAGCAAGATTGATAAATTGGTAACTTGAATCAGCTAGTGGATACATGGGATTCCATTACATTATTAACTCTCCTATACATGTTAAAATTTTTCATAATAAAAAAATTATAACCCATACATTTATAAATGTTCACATTTCTTTATAAAAGCTGAGAGCCATTTCAGTACTTCATACTTGAATTGAAACACATTTTTTTTCTTGTGCTAGTTCTTTCTTGCTCCTAGAAAAGGGAGAAGAAATACCATATGGTTAATCAATTCATAGTTCGTTCTTGTCTGGACAGCCTCATAGAAACAAACTTGCAATTAATTGGATTAGTTATTGCCCAATAGCAACAGCATGCAAGAAAAATAATGAAACTTTAAATTCAGATCTCAGAGAACCTCAGTTATCCGGCTTTATTGGATTTCTACTTAACCCAGTCTTCACATCGGATGCCTTTGTGGAGCTTTGGAAAACCTAGATGTATGAGTGTTCTGGAGACCTATTAAATTAGAACCTCACGGGGTGGGGCCGGGCATCCTGGAGCTTGAGAACCTCCCTAGGCTTCTGGTGCAGGATAGAGTCCAGTGTGGTTGTAGCTTATAAGAACCATGCAGTAGTCCCTGCTGACTCCTGGTGAGACTGTCATGTGATGAGACTTAGGGTGTTTGCTCCCCACAAAGCAGGTTAAGTTCCCTGGGTAAGTTCCTTCTCTTTCATGTTTCCTCACAGTGTCTGTTCATAGTGTATTCGTGACCGGTCAGTGTTGAATGACTTCTGAGCATGGAGGATACTTAAAGAGAGTTGGCTCTGACTAGGGAAAGCCAGTGCAACCTGTATTTCCCTTTCTCTCTGTCCCTGGGCCCATCTGTGTCCTTGCTTTGTGGTCACTGCAGGTCAGGAGATTGGAGTGAGCCAGCCTCAGGGCCAGCTCAGGCCTGTCAGGTGCTGTGAGCCACAAGGGCAGATGTCATCTAGCTAGGTCCAGGGTGCCAGGTTCAACCACAGGACATAGGCCCGGCTTGTGACCCTGCTTGGGCATGAATGGGACCTCTGTAACGTCTCAAGGTAGCCAGAGACCACGAAAATGTAAGAACAGTCAGTGATTGAAGTCTGTACTTATATGTAGCAAAATAGACCATGAGCGATGCAGGGTCTTAGAAATCAGACCCCTGTGTATTCCCAGACAAGGATCCTCTCTTACCTCCACTGAGGATTGGATCACATGTTAGCATGTTAGGCTGAAATGTGCCTTCATTCCTGGATCAAGGTGGATTTTGGCTGATGGCAGAGCCCTTAGGTTCTGACCAGTGTCTGCATTCTTCCCTCAGCTCAGCCAGTGAGTTTATTAGCACGGTTTCTCTGTTTCTCCTTTAGAACGCTTCAGGGTCCTTCAGCCAGTACAAGAACACCTGCAGATCAGAGAATTTCTCCCCCAGGTTTTCCCTTGTGACGTAGTATTCACTAAAAAATCTCCAAGGGGCCAATGTGAGATTTCTGTTCCTGAATTAAATCCCTCTGGCGATATAGGGAACTGTGTAATCGTAGGTTATGGGTTGTCTAATTTTCTCCCTCTCTAATTTTCTCCCTCGACTTTGCAGAGATCTGACAGAAGAGGTGCCAATAAGCGCTTAAGTGAGGGGACATGTGGCATGCAAAGGCAGCGATAGGTTCCCTTTAGAGAGTGTAAGTAGACTCCACAACTCTTTCCACAGAGTAGAGATGAGCGGTGAGCAGAGGACACAGCCTTTGAGGGCTCCTTGGCTAATAATGTGACTTTAAAATATGACTTTCTCAAGCTTGTGGACTCTAATTTTGTCAACTCTGAAAGTGACCATAAAATATTAGCATGAGAGAAAGTGGTCACGTCTGACCTGTTGGCATGCCTTTCTCTTCACTCATAATTTAAGTCAGGCTACTCACATTTTCACTAAGGATTTTATGATATGGTTGCTTGAAAATCTTGCCATCTACCTAGGATATAAGATGTGTCCCAAAATATGGCAACAGTGGGAGGTAGAATGTTCACTGTCAGTGGAATGTACAAGAAATGAGTTTCCTAGGTGTTCCATGCAGCTTACCAGTTACTATGTCTGATTTGTCCTGATGATTGAAGATGCTTGTGTTCAAGATACAGTGTTACTCTGCTTGGACATTTGTACTCTAAGATGAAGTAACGTGGTTTAAAATTGAAAATGGGTTTCAGTAAAATAAAAGAGGCAGGTAGTTCAGGCCAGTCTTCTGAGAAAGATGGTCAGATTGAGCTCAGTTTTGGAGTGATATTGTGATGTGCTCTTGACTGTTACTGTCCATTTTAATTGTGTAAATATTGTGATAATAGTGTTCAGGTCAGGCAGCTGAGATGGAACTTTTCAGCTTTGGACACTGACATGTTGAAAATGGGGTGAAATAGTTTGCATATCCTGATTGGAAAACAATTAAAAAGATATTTAATATATAATTTTCATCCTAATGCTTAGGTTTTAGAAAGTGTACCAGTGACACACAGACACACAGGTGATCAGTTTCGTCATGCAAATCAAATGTGTATTCTACTAAGAAAACATATATGTATGTGTATATATATTTTTATGTTTATAGTTTTAAAAGTATGCTTATTTTATTTGCATGAGATTTTTGCATATCTTTAGGTCTATTTTGAATTTCTTTTTGTACAAGACAAACTAAAGTGTTTTGTAATTTATGGCTTATTTTACCATCTGGGTAGTGAGTACATAAGGATATAAACACCTTCTGTTGACAGAAAGTATAAAAACATTTTCTCTTCATTACTGGTGAAATGCACCTATCTTGATTTGATTCAAACTTTAAAATATTTTTTTGTTTTGTTTTGAAGTTGGTTCTAATACTTTTCTCTTTTATCTTTCCCTGCCAGTCGTCTAACCATCCAGTGTATCTCCCTAAAGCATCCTTCCCACCCTCTTGCCCATCACAAGTTCAAATATGCCATCCTGGAATCAAAGTCCCTAGAGTCTAGCCCTATCTGCAGACGCACATCAACACAGAGCTTCTTCTGTGCCAGTCAGGCTGGTCCACACACTGGCTCCTGCTTGTTGCTGCTCTGCTTAACTATTCAGAGTCTTTATCCAAGTGTGAGGCCTCTACCTCTCTTCCTGTTCTCTGAACTTCAAGACCCTCCCCTTTCCTGAAGCTGTCTCCACCTGTGCACTCTGACCTGTGGACTTGCCAGCTTCTGTTCTGCTGGGCTCTTGCTGGTGGGAGTGAGGGTTGGGTGATGGCGAAGGACTAGCATGAAGGCAGGTACTGCCCCTCCTGTTAGCTGGCCAGGAGCTGAGGGGACCTCCAACTGCACTCTGGGGGCAAGTCTGACAGAGGGAGCCTAGCTCTCCCTCGGCCTAAACTGTTCTTGTCCCACAAACCACACATCCCTGTTGTTGTCAGTCACTGGCCCAGAAAACTCTGCTTTTATGCCCAGCAGATGTTCCTGTCTCCCCCAGTGTTGGATGGCTGAGCAGATAGGCTAAATGAGTGCTTGAGCCCCTGAAGGTCAAG